TCTTACTCGATGTTGCATCTCTCTATCTATCAGAATAGATACAATCAAAGACAAGAAAAAAAACACACCAATAATCGTTGTTAGTGCACTTCGCACGTGATGTAAGCGCGGTTATGTAAAAGGACACAATTTCATATTGTTCGCCAACGTTCGCAATAAAACACTGTCTTGTCTAAATAAATATTTCTATTTTAGTTAACTGTTTTTGCATACAATGCACAAATAAAACAACAGCGATTAATTATAATTGTAGTTGCTGCAATATTATTAAGATTGCTAATCGATGCTTTTAGGATGGCACCAATGAATCTCTCATTTGTTAGTAACGAGAGGTGCAAAGATCTAGGGATATAGAGGCTTAGGGATATTGGAAATATAGGGAACTAGAAATTTCCACAGATTTTGGAATCTAGGGACTTGGGGATCTAGGAATTTCTGAATCTAGGGATATTTTGGGATCTAGTTAAATTTGAGGATCTGGGGCTATTGGGATTTTGGGATATTTGGAGATCTAGGGCTATTGGGATCTAGGGATATTGAAATCTATGGATATTTGGGGTCTAGGGATATTTGAGGAACTAGGGATATTGGAATTTAGGGATATTTGGGGAACTAGGGAACGCCCTTAAAATATACAATTGTCAAAGAATCAAAACTAATTCTCCCATCGAAATGTCGCGAAACGACTTAAAAAATGCCAACGAATTACGTCATGCATAGCATCGTTATCGCAACAGGTTTCATTCAAATTTTTAGACGATGACCTTGCTCGTCATGCTGTTCGTTCTGCATGCCAATTATAGCATCCCGTGGCGAGACTTTCTGTACGTTCTACTCGGCGCAGAACTTATCTTACTCGATGTTGCATCTCTCTATCTATCAGAATAGATACAATCAAAGACAAGAAAAAAAACACACCAATAATCGTTGTTAGTGCACTTCGCACGTGATGTAAGCGCGGTTATGTAAAAGGACACAATTTCATATTGTTCGCCAACGTTCGCAATAAAACACTGTCTTGTCTAAATAAATATTTCTATTTTAGTTAACTGTTTTTGCATACAATGCACAAATAAAACAACAGCGATTAATTATAATTGTAGTTGCTGCAATATTATTAAGATTGCTAATCGATGCTTTTAGGATGGCACCAATGAATCTCTCATTTGTTAGTAACGAGAGGTGCAAAGATCTAGGGATATAGAGGCTTAGGGATATTGGAAATATAGGGAACTAGAAATTTCCACAGATTTTGGAATCTAGGGACTTGGGGATCTAGGAATTTCTGAATCTAGGGATATTTTGGGATCTAGTTAAATTTGAGGATCTGGGGCTATTGGGATTTTGGGATATTTGGAGATCTAGGGCTATTGGGATCTAGGGATATTGAAATCTATGGATATTTGGGGTCTAGGGATATTTGAGGAACTAGGGATATTGGAATTTAGGGAGATATTGGGATCTAGAGATATTGGGATCTAGAGATATTGGGATCTAAGGATATTTGGAGATCTAGAGATATCGGAATCTAGGGATTTCTGGATCTACGAATGTAGTAATCTAGGGATATTTCGATCTAGAGATATTTCGATCTAGGTATCCAGTGATCTAGGGATATTGCGATCTAGGAACATCAGGAAGTCTAGGGATTTCTGGATCTAGGGATATTATAATATAGGGATGTCTGCGTATAGATATCTCTATATCTCTATATCTAAGCTAAATATTTCTAGTCCTAGAAATATTATGTTGTAAGAATTTTAGGATCTAAGGATTCCTATGGCTAGGGTTTTGCTGGATCCAGGAATTCCAAGATCTAGGAACATCAAGACTTAGGGATATTGGAGTCCAAAAGTAACATTGTGTTGGAATATTCGGAGCTAGATATTGGATCTAAGATTATAGAAATCTTAATATCTAGAAATATAGGAACAAAGCGAAAATTATGAGATTCTCGGATTTCATGTACATGGTACTGAGTTACTAGATTCAATTGTAGTAGGTGTTTAATGTCACGCGAGTATAATCCAAGACCGTGCGAATTCTTAATGACGTGACTCACAATGCGGGAAACACGAGACAATTGTTAGTTTAAACGAGCGCCGCTAGTACAAATAATGAAACTTCGAACACGGAAGGTTTTACTACTTTGGACTAAGACAATCGTTATTTTACCTTTTATCTAATCTAGAGATGAAGTAGGGTGCTGTAGATTTCAGAGAAATCGATAATTAAAAGCTGTCAAAACAAGATGAGTGTATTCAAAAATGTTATACACGTGTTTGATATGTATCAGTGCGAAATGTGAAGGCGCGTTCTTAACGGAGTATGAAACTTCAAGGATACACAACCGAGCCTTGAGTAAAACGGGGAATTTAGAGCAGAATTATATCCAGTTCCCCTCTGACCCTGGAGAAATGACGCAGTTTCATTGTAAAGCATATAAACTACACCGAGCTGATATTTTAACGTTTTCGTTTTGGTAGAATATATTTATCTCCTCCTACCGTCTTTCTACATCTCTCTTATTAATAAAATGCCACCCAACACGTCAAACATCAATGTGAAAAAATCTAAAATCAATAGCGAATGAATCACGCGTTCGAAAAAACCTTCAGTTTCTCGAAAACATTTCAACTGGTGCTGGACGTACAACCTAATCTTACATTGAAAGTAAACGAAGCATATAATCATTGTTTTTCCCCACAAAAATCGCTGTGTATTTTCATAAAAATATGTAACGTGTTTTTGAGTATTAAATAATAAAGGTCTTCTGTGAAAATATTTCTTCTGCATAAACTAGTCCTTATTTATGAAAAGCTATTTTTAAATACTTCGTTCTTGGATAAATTATTAATAGCAAACAAAATTTAAAAAATGTCACTAGGCGCCCTTACTATTGAGTAACTCGACTGATAGCAGAGTAGTGTGATAAAACGATCTTATCAATCCTCCTTCATAGATAAAAGCAAGATTACTTACAGCAAAGAAAAAATTAAAAGTATAGAGTAACCACCGCATACAGTCCGAAACACAACTCATTGTTTTTCTGTATCAATTCACAGAATAGAAAACGAATGAACGAATAAAACGTCGCAAGGACGATTGTGACAAGACGCACTCAAGACGAGACGAGAGTAGTTCGGACACTAAAAACATCAGAGTTGTTGCGATGATCAAAATGCGTGAAATAAGCTTATATCGTTCTCTCTCTTGTTCCCATCCATTCTTTCGTTTCTCTCTTTCACTCTCGTGAATCTTGCGACGCGTCATCGTCGTCTGGGATTTTCTCCCAACCAATGGTTCGACATACAATTCTGTTAAGATAAGTTATTTCTTAAGAAAACTTCTCAGAAAAAGAAAAGCTATAGAGGAAAACATTGAGTTTTGCGATAAAAAGAAAACAGCAGATATAACGGTTAATGAATGTTTCATAACATTATAAAAACACTGATAAACTGTACCGTGAATAGTTGATAAAAATTAATGGAAGTGAAAAGTTGATTAAAATTAATGGCATAGACCTGGGACGTAGATAGTAATATTGAACCGTTCAAAAATGGCGCGCTTTTTACGATGCATTTCGGAAAATTCGATAATTTCCATTTTCTAAACTTTGTTGTTTCCAATTCTTCAAGTTCCTAATTCAAAAGTTCGAAATTTTTATTATTCCACATTTCTACATTTCTAAATTTTCAATTAATCATTTTTGGAGTATAAGAAATGACTTAGGTTGAGGCGTAGACGTTCTACGCAAAACCTACATCGAACACGAAACTCTTGACACGAATAGAACTACCTATATCGATTGTTTAATAGTTGAAAAGGATGTACGTCTATCCACTTTTCTGTCATAATTGAGAACGTGTATATACGCATTGAACATAGCGTGTTAACTTATCGTATTTTGGGTCGAAGTTTCTTATCTATAATAAAAGACATTCAGATACGTCAAATATTAAATATTCATAATAACAAAATTTACATTATCAATGCTTGATTAGTTATAATCGTTGCCAACTTGTTGCTGTATTACAGGGAATATTTAGTCGCATTTATGTAAAAGAAGCAGGCTTTTCATGTAAAAAATTGCATGACAGTTATTGACAATTTGTGAAAATAAGTTGGAACACTTTTCGCCATAACGGCTCTTCTTTATCGCATGACTCATGGCTGGACACTTGCGAACTGACGTATGTTTAAACAAATACGAGTAAAACTGAATGACTAAGAACTAATGTTAACTCTGTTTATATTAAATCACATAAAAATTCGAATTGATGAAATGAATTTTACACTCAATTGATAGAATGACGTTTACGAGAATTTATCATTGTTCCCCTAATGCAGTGACGGGTTCAACTACGATAAATGATAGTACAATGAATAATCGCAATGGTTATGATTACAAAGTCAAAAGGAAAATTATACGTATTGTTATCACTTTTCATAACGAGATAAGAAAGGCTTCATTTTCGTAGAATGTTCTTGTGTTAAACGAGAACGTAATTGTCAGAGAAATAAAATAAAAATTGATAAATTTAAAATTACCCGTGAAATTTGCTTAAACACGAAAAGAATGTTAAACCGAATAATCATAAAAAAATTATAACAAAACTGCAGGCAAACAAAATTTTATCTGCAAAAATAACGGAGTAAACATGTAACTCGTTAAAATGATCAAAAGAAGGAGGTCGATTATCAATTGCTTTTAAAAATAGCTTGTACTGGTCAAATACGACCGGAAAAACTACTTGTGTCGTTCCCCGAACCGATTAAATTGACCATTTTTTTTCAATCATTAAGAAAAGAAAGTATACTTTGACACTGTTAAATATTTTTTTTAAAATACATCAATCATATGCTATTTGTTTACACAGTAAGATCAATTCTTTGTCGATGTTAAACAGAAATGCGTTCTGTGATTATTTTCGATACAAATGAGACAACTGTGTCATCAAACGACTCCAATAAATTAATTGAATAATCTCAACACTTACCGCAAAAATGAAGTTGAATACGAAGAGTAAAGTTTTGACCAATCCCATTCCGCAACCCATTTTCGTAGCTTTTTCGTCGTAACAGTTGCTTCTTGTTCAAACGACGGAATCCGTTACAATACCGAGAATCGTTCAAAGAACGCGCAGAGAGACGCTCAACAGGTTAGGTTAGAAACGGCACAACCGCCAACTACGAACACCGACGTCCCGTGTTCAACTGATACAATAGCCGAAACAAGTTCCAGTCTTAAAGCACGGACAAGGAATGAGATAGAGTTATCATGCACTTTAAATCCTCTATCTCATGGATCGTATACAACTCCGTTACCATTTTCGTGTCACGTACAACGTTATCGACTCAGAACAGAATGAGACTGCAACGCTTGCAGCGGTGTGAGATCGAATCTCACGAAAAATTTGATATAGTTTTGGAATTTCGTTTTACCTAAAGTTACAAATTCAGCTAAAAATCGAATATGTCGATAACTGTCGATAATTATTGTTTTTATGGAACATGTCAAAATGTTTTAAAATACTTCTAATTTTTTGAATTAATTATTTTGAAATACATTATCGACCAGTTACAAAATTATTTATTTCAGAAAGTTTGATTTTAGGCATAAAATGTGTCGATAATCTGAAGTTACAGCGGGTGGGGGATCCTTTTCTCTTGGAAATCGTTTTCCCTAGAAAAACTAGATGTCAAATGTCATCGCATTGAACATATGTACCCTGTGTTCTTTTATTTTGTATACTTAAGATATTATCAATTTTTCTTTTCATTCATACATCGTTGCCTACCATGTATATAAATGACTGAAAAAGTGAATCACAGTTGGACAACTCCAAGTAAAAGTGAGCTCACTGAAATTAGCCGAGTTGCACGAAGAAGCTATAATCTATTGTTGAACAAAGTATAGTTAACACTGTTCTCAATTGTAATTTAATTATTTAAAACAAAGTAGTTGTTTATAAATAATTTTAATTTATATTTTAGCTTATGAGAAATTATATAGAAATAAAATAATATGTATGTTATATAATTTTATATTCTATACAGTTTATGTAATAAGTATTTATTGCTGTTATAGGTTCTCTTATTTTTTAAATAAAGTAATGTAAAATAAACATATTTATATTGACTACTGTATTTAAATAAAATTTTTGTTCCGATGGTTTAAAAGAAATATTATTCAATCGATATATTTCTGTATTATTAAGACACATTATATATAGAAAATACACTGCGGTATAAATACTATGCTGTGATCGTGTGTACATAAAATATCATTGATTTAAAAGAATTTGTTTTGTGAATGAAAATGGAAGTTTTGAGTCATTTTGATCATATCGACGAGAGGTATAGTTTATCTTTCATTCAGAAACTTTAATAACAAATCGTTCTTTGTACTTCTAAGAAAAGTTATGGTGAAGCTATCGATGATTATTTTCGTAAATAACAGCTTGTCAATTGGAAATTTCTCATCCCTAGTTTTGCATAATTAAAGAAACTAACATAAGTTAAATTTGTTACTATTTAATTGTGTTTAATTTTGCATTTTGGATAGAAAATAAAGTCGATTGTAAAATTTCGGAATGTAAGGTTATATTTCAGAAAAAAGTTTTCTAATTACATTGTTTGAGAAGCAATGAACTAATGACATTTAGCTGTTCATTTCTGTAAATGCTTAATATTTTATAGTGTGGATGAGAATACAATTAGCAATGACAATGTTGGCGTCGTTCTAGAGGAAGCAGAAATAATAGATTGTGATACAGAAATAGAAACTGTCACAGAAGAGGACAATGTGCAGTATCAGTTATGTGAACTGAATAGGAATGATAATGCTGTAGCATATCGTGTAGTACAAGTTGGTGATAGTCATGCAACTAATGCTGAGTTGTCGTTGGCTGCCCCTATAAATAATGCTGTTCAAGTTTTAACATCTCCAATAAATGGCCAACTTTATGTACTTAGCAATGGTAATGAAGTAGTTAACACAGATTCTACAAGATCAGTTACACCACGAGTCAAACTTCAAATAGATAATCCACAAAATATTCTTACCAGCATTAAAAAGGTATGTGGATTTTATATTGACTGTAGCTGATAAAAATTGTTCAGTTATGTTAACTGTTAACACATAATTTCTTTTAGAGGGATGAAAGGAGAAGAGTAACACATAATGAAGTTGAAAGACGTCGTAGAGATAAAATTAATAATTGGATTGCAAAGTTAGGAAAGCTTTTACCAGAATGTGAACAAAGTACAACAGGAGATGCTGAGGTAAAAACAAATTTTGAACTGCAGGTAAAATATTTTATATTAATACTTTGTACTATTTCTAGCTAATTTAATAATTGAATACTGTTCTTTATTTTCATTCTAAATATTTGAATAAAAATTTTTTGTTATAGAGTAAAGGAGGAATTTTAGCAAGAGCTTGTGAATATATTACAGAATTAAGAGATGTGCAGGAAAATCTTGCACAAAGTTTAGATGAAAATGCTCAATTATTAGAAGAAGCCAAAACCTTGAGACAAGTAGTGAATCAATTGAGAAAAGAAAATGCTGAACTAAAGGCACAAATACCAACTGGTACAACTTACATACTTGGTACTTAATTTCGGATAATGCATATAATAGATATGAATAGATACGATTTTTCATGAAATAATTTGTCTGTCAGTACGATTTTATTTAAAACGACGTGTACTTTCATTGTAAGTACTTGGAGTAATATGTGGGGAACACGTACAGTTTAGTGCAATAAAGTAATAGTAATATAGTAATTATAAAATGTTTATTTACATATATTTAACTGAGTAAATATTTATATTTTGAAAACAATTGTAAACATATTATGTAATTTTAACTGTACATATCATAAACAATAATTATTTATAACGTGAACAATCGAGCAAAGAGTAATTTATTCGTAAATCATTAAATTAGATATACAAATATACAAAACATTGTGCTATTCAATCAATAATTAATCTTTATCCAAAAGTTATATGTCATTCAGTTTTAAATTCCTTATTGCCTAGAGTGTGTTGAAGTTGTTGCTAATGAAGAGTTCTACAGTATTTACATTTACAAAGTACAATACCTAGTTATTTACATGAAACAAACCAATACATTGTTGTATCAGTTTCTCCTTTTTAGTTCATCGTTCATTAAATTCATTGCAATACAGGACATGGGTGTATATCAATAATTTATCGTTACATAATATCGATATACACTCACAGCCAGTAGTATTAAATATCAGGGAAAATATATGCGTTTACATATATATGCAACAGCCTAAACTGTTATTACAGTAACGCCTAATAATATTATTGCTTCGAAGCACATTATTTTGACGTTTGTGCAGAATTCGTTTCAATATTGCCAGAGTAATAACACAAATTAGTGAACTTGTAATCGTTATCTACATACAATCCTTAGAAAGAATACCACACTATTAATTACGCTATTCGTTAAACTTCATTGTGTATCATCTTCGTTCGGATATGTAAAGTATGGTCAAGGCAAAGAATAAATTATTACGGTGTATCTTTTAGTATGTGGGTTCTTGTAATATTACTCTGGCAATTCGCAGAAGTTTTATTCCTTTATTCGTGTAAATGGAATCGAATGGATGAAAAGTTATGTATGAGTTGTGCAATACGGCGGTATTATCGTTTCAGCATTCACAGTAAAGCACGAAAATGCTTTCTCCTTACATTTAGTCACATTGGCCATTATACTTGTTCTTACACAACGATGCTTGTAACGAGATTGCGTTCGAACAAATAAAAGTTGTCCTATAAAAATAACTCTTGAATGAGTTACGTCCAGCAACAAATGTATCGCGTCTAATCTACACATCCATGGTTAATGATATCTGTACAGTTTCAGTAGGAATCTTGCTCCTTCGCTTTGTCATCATATTGTCCTCGTCGTATAGTAAATACAATGCCAGAAAATAAGCAAAAATATACTTCTGTGTATTGTTTCGTTTTTGCTAATATTTCATTATTCATCTTTTACGAAATTACACACGGTTGAATACAGAGAATAATCGATCACCTCGTTTTTATAAACGTATACTTTTGAAACTTACACGGTGCTTCGAACATGATGAAAAAGACACAAACGAACGAAGACGTGTTTAGTAAACATATTGGCAGTGTTGAAAAACTTTCACAATCGAAGGGTAATAGATTCTTTTTTCAAACGTTAATTTAATCATACACGGTGAATTATAATACATACAACAGCGTGTATAGTCCCCGACAGAACATAGCGGGGTCGTAAATTAAATCCTTGTTAGAAGATAAAATGCTCAAGTATGCTACGTTCTGCTTTAGGGTCATCCAGAATTTAGGAGTTCAGGAAGTTTCGAAATTCGGATATTTAGGAATTTTTATGTTCAGGAAATTAGAAACTTAGGAAGATGGAAATATCAAAGTTTGAAAATTTGAGTCACTTCACAATATTGAACCTTACGAAATCCTTTCTCGTTCTGGCGAAAATTTCATATTCGCATCAACTTTCAAAAAGTTGTACGATCTCGCTATATCGCAGCAGAAACTATACATTCTGTTTCTTGCTCGTACAAGACACAGAGGTTTTTGCTGGCTGACTGGCTTTCATCGCGATATCCTCGTTACATTGTTCTGTACAAGAGTAGAAAAAACTTGAAAGATATCTCAGATGATTTTCATTTTTCTTTAGAAACTGCGTCTGATAGCAGTCGAGAAAAGAGGCTTGATATGCGAGTATTTACACGTTTCAACGATACCTGCGTATCCTTAATACTGCCGCTTCTTGTGCCGACGTAGAAAGATAATTCAACGTCAGTTTACCGAAATTTAAAACCTTCGTACAAACTATGGTGAGTATTTATCGCTTCGCGTGAACGTTACAATTTACTGCTTCCAGTGTAACTTGTAGGCAGTAAAAGGGTAGCCGCGTTTTATTTTTTATTTTACTTTGAAATTCTTTTTCTACAAACGCGTTTCCCTTCACTGAGAGAGATATCTCTGAGGTGATGTTTACTATCAACATTTTGTTACTTTAGTGTGCGTTCTAAAAGTCTATTTAAAAGATTATCGAACCAGAAGTATAGTTAAAAGACTTTTCAGTCTAGAACTAGGAGGTTTTCGATTATTCTTTTCTCTCAGCGCTACCCTCGTACCGACTCTCTTCGGTCAGTCTTTATTACCACAAAAAAAAAAAGAATTGTATGGCCATCGCTGATCCATTCATTGCTCACAACACTCAAGCAATTGTATTTTAATAACGCTAAACTCTTATCACTGTTCCTTTACGCGACTTCTCGTGATAAAAGTGACTAGTACTTTCTCTTTAGTACCTCAAAAAGCTCGCTATTAACTTTACACATATATTTATGTTCGTCTAATAATAGGTGCATTCGTTTCTCTAGTAGATGCAATTATTTCTTCAGTTATATTTATCTAATGCTGGTGTCTTTTTTTAACCTTGAAACTTTTCGCAAAACGTTTAGATCCCATTTGCTTTTCTTTTCCCAACTAAGATATTCGTATAAACGTTGCTTGTATGTATACTTCGTTTTACTTACATTTTTATAATTAGTTAATGGTACTTCATTCGGATATACTTTTACGTGTAACAAACAACGTTTATCATTTACTAGAGAAAGCTAAGTGACAATACCACGTCACTTTTTGCGACGACAAAGCGTTTGGATGAAGAAGAATCTTTCTTTGAGGCAGTGAAATAAATATCGTCAATGATGCGGTTACACGTTATATCGAACTGTGTGCTTTTATAAATTAAACCAGTACTAGAATTGGACTAATGAAAACCGTAGCTATTCGCTACCTCGTCAACAGGACGTATCGATGCTGTCGAGTCGATAACAACCTTTAATGATAACTTAACGATTAACGTAAACACCTTCGTTCCATACATGTGACGAGCGCTTAAGATCGTTTACTCTTCTGTGAACGAAAACGTATATGAATTCATGTCGGAGGATAGAGCATAAATTGTTTCAAACTATTCCAACAATTCTTTCAGTAACATACGTTCTAGTCACGATTCTGAAGCAACGATTAAGCGGTTCTCATCAAACTTTCACAAATCAATGTATGGCACGAAGGTAGGCCTGTCTCAGGACGGCTGAAGTCGAGTACTTTTTTTGCTGCTACCAAATGTGAACCAAGTGCCAACTTTACGTCCCAACGAGTTCGTTGTACCTTGACTGATCATCGTAGGAATTTCGTAAGCCGCTTCTCTTTTGTACGTTTTATCTAGAAATACATGGGTCGATTACAGTTCTCCAGTTTTTCTTTTTCAACTAATTTTTTCTTTGGAGAACGAGAATTTATATATCGTATGTGTGTGGAAATTTATATGAAGTACATTAAGCAGTTATCAATTTTCAAAGTATAATTAGTATGTAATAGTAAACAGACATAAAATAATATTTGATATAATTATATTACGTACTGCGAGGTTTGATTGGCGGTCTGTTCTGTTGTCTCGTCGCTGCAAGCCTGGCCAACTCCTTGGCTGCAGCTGGAAACTCCAATCCATCGTTTCTGTCTTGAACAACCAGTCTTCGTTCCTCCGCCATTGCTGCCAACCATCGACGCTTCTCTTCTGCCGTGCGACAGCAGAAGAGCAACCATTTATCTCGAACGCAACTGTACACTTTTAAACAGTGCCTCACCGTTACTCCTAATTGATGATCTACAAATAACGCATTTCAAATTTACAATATTTACTAACTACCTTCTCTTGACACAGTAAATGAATGCACTAATCACCTTTTCCATCGGGAACATCGATCACTTCGCTCGTGTCGAGATAAATACGTCCTTTGTAGACGTAAGTGTTCCGCTTCAAAATATCTTTTTTACAATAAACCAGCTGATGATCGAACAGGAAGAGAGTGATATTGTTCGTCCACATACCGGTGGTAACTCTAATCGCTTCACCCTGGTAAATCAACTGGGACGAAACTTCTATGAGATCTTCACCCTGCAACATTGGCCCGAAATATGAACATCCTAAACTTTGTCCTACTTCTTAAGAATCAAAAAAAATTCATACCTCCCATCCTTCGACTCTTAATTGCCAAGCAGCAAGCTTCTCGAGGCTTTCCATTCGCCTCTTCCTCTCGTTGATTAAAACCGCAACGCCTCGCATCGCTTCAAGAGCTTCTTGAATCTTGTGGTAATCCGGATGATCAGCTTTCGTGTATTTCAGAAGCTCCGCCAATTGAAGCGGATATTTGCATATCCGTTGTACAGGCGTTAACAAGTACCCATCTAAAGGAATTTCTATCAGTCCTCTCATTAGCCTGCACGCTTCGAAGAATTTACTGTAACGATTATGCTGGTACAGTTCTTGTAACGTGGCGGTGGCCATTGGGTGACTGTTGCAATACTCTGAGTACATACGAAATCCTGCTCTCTGGAAAAAGTCAAAGCAACATGTGAGGATTACTAGAATACTTAAATACTTGTTAAAACTAATATTAAATATTTTTTATATGGGTTACTTTAAAATTATGGACAGAAAATAGGGACATCTGTATTGAGATGTCTACACGAACATTATAAATTTACATTTTTTTATAAATATATCTAAGGTTTTTAAATTTTCTTACATGATTTAGGAAACATTCACCGACGCAACTCTTGTACGGTGCGTTCCAGTCGATTCGAGATTCCAGATCCTTCAAGAACTCGGACTGGAAGTCCAACAGATCTTCAAGATTGATGAATATCCTTTCTATCTGCTCCTCGTTGAACATATCCGTATGCCGTCTACATTCGGCTATGTAACCTTCCGCTACGTCCGTCAATATTTTGACAAAATCTCGTTCAGTCTGAACCAGTTCGCGAACTACGCTCGTTCTAACTTGTTCGTTCGATAACAGCGAAACACTGGTGCGTCTCCTCAGTTGGGAGTTAGACGTGCCTCCGGAAGCCATCGCCGCCAAACAATCCTCGACAGTGTCCTCTTGGCTTACGCGTAACTGTACAAACATTTAATTAATTTTCAAACTTTCTAAGAATTAAGAAACTTAGTTCGGATATATGAACATTTGCTAATTATAAGATTGTCAAGTTTACATATACGTTCGTACACAAAAAAGTCTCCACTCGAATTACAAGATATATTACAAGTCTTTGTAACGTATTAATTTTGCTGTACCAAATGTATTAATTGATAAAAGATTGAAAATGTACCCTAACAAATGCAGCCGGAAACCATCCATGTTCTCCTCTACAGCTACCCCACCACCAATCCTTGTCTAGGTTGTCGAGAACCTCGATGACATCGCCGGCACGAAAAGCTAGCTCCTCAGGTTCCATAGCCACGTGGTCCCAAACAGCTTCAGCCAGTATCACCACTTCTTCGTCCATCGTCTGCTCGAAGGACTTCTTTCTGTCCGTCAAGGAAGCGATGGAGGACTCTGAATCGGACATCATTTCGTCGTCGGACGTTCCACCTCTTCCGTCCTGTTCGTCCTCCGACAGGACGTTTCCACCGGGCAACCTCGCGCCTGATTTCAAACGAAAGAGACAACCATTTTACCGCGATGACAAAATGGCGAACTGATCGTCCAGAGAAAGAAAAAAGAGAGCAATCTACTTTGCGTGTGTAGTTGGCTCGGTGTACGCCTTCTTTGCGCCGATTTCTCGATTTGTCAAGTCGCTTATGATGTTATAATACGAGAAAAAAACAATCGTATGCGAAAAATCACCGTGTAGACATCCATCGCAGGCTTGCTGGCGTTGGCAGCGAAAGATTAAAAAATCGTTTATGATGTTTGATGGGGGATTTCAACTAGGTCTCAGAGCTTCATGAAACATTTAACCGAATCTTTGTCGATCGTCGTTAAGTTGTTTCGTTTCGTTGAAATGTTTCATGAAACTCCCTGAAGGTAATCGCTTTCTACTGCACCTTGCAAACAAAAGCATATTCACAGGAAGCAAACCTTTACGGGACGAAGATATCAACACGTTCAATACAAGAGTGTTTCCGCATTCCTTTACTTTTGAGGAATCTTCTTACAGGTGCGTTCTGTTACAACGGCCAGTGGTTCAAGATTTTTACAAGGGTGCATGCTAGCTCAGAGAACACTCTCAGAAATGATTTAGTCTAGAGAAAAAGTTGGGTACCACTGCGGTAGAAGGTGTGCACTAATCTTCGTCAACGGGCTACAAGTGAACCTTTCATACCAAGCAAACAAGCGATGTGCTGATTAGTAGTAGCATTTTGTGTTCACTCCGCAGTTATTCAAAAAATATCTCTAACCCATAGACTAGCTTTTGAAAATTTATATTCTTGCAAAATTACGTCGATTCTATTAGGGTTATGCAAATGTTCCTGATTTGTTTAAACAAAGTATGCAACTATGAAATATGTAATATTCTAAGTCACTCAGTCTCGGAGATTACTATAACAACCTAGTTCTGGTCATCGAATTTGATGAAACACCCTGCTGTGTTTTGACAATATTTTTTCGAATATCTCCGAGATTAAAAATAAACAACAGTTACATGTATAGAGAAAAGTCGTTTAGAATGATATCCTTGAGAACATATTTCAAGGTCCTCCAGATTGCGTAATCCCAATAGAAATAAGGAGTCCCTTGGTAATAAAAAAAGATCAAATATTGCTCGACTCAGCTGACAATTAGTGTATGGGTTAAAAGTAAAAAGTATTTGGTGCATTAACGTGAAGAGGCATCAACATCGTACTATCAGAGTCGGTGATTAATGAAAGTGCAACGAACGATCCATTACCCGTTTGCTTGGAAGGAAAGCAAAAGGAAAACGTGGTCTACGTTAAAAGTCAAACATAGTATCAAACAAGTAAAGATTCGTCTGTGGATCGACGAGCGTTAAGCTTTACCTGCAGTTTTGGTGCGCATCAAGGGTGATAGCTGATTGATACCCAGTGGTTGGCTAAGTGAACGCCTCAAATTTGTCCGAGAACTCCTCCCTTTCGCGTTACTGAGACCAGAATAAAATCGCCATTAATTTTCTCCCTCGCCGGTACATGTGTCGGATAGAGAGGTTCAACAAGCTTGTGTTTACGTAGAAGCATCGATACAACATTCAGCAACGAATTACAATAGGTAAGTATATATATACACACGACAAGGTATACACGTGTATACAGAGTGGTTCTGTAACCCTGTAGTTTGCGGGCGGTCAAATTTCAAATTCGTAAATTTTCAAGTTTGATGATTTAGGGATGCGTAGGGGTGGATATTTGGGGATGTTGGAATTTGAGGATTGGGGGATTTGGGGATTTGAGAAGTTGGGTGTGTGATACTTTGGGGTGTAGATACTTGAGGATGTGGGGATCTTGGGATATGGGGAATCTTGCGAATATGGGAACTTCGGGATATGGGGACTTGGGATGTGGGGACTTAGGATGTGAAGACTTGGGATGTGGGGACTTGGGATATATATGGGGACTTGGGATATGGAGACTTGAGATATGGGGAATCTTGCGAATATGGAAACTAGGGGATATGGGAACTTGGGAATATGGGAACTTGAGATATGGGGAATCTTGCGAATATGGAAACTTGTTAATATGGGAACTTGGGAATATGGGAACTTGGGAATATGGGAACTTGGGAATATGGGAACTTGGGAATATGGGAACTTGGGAATATGGGAACTTGGGAATATGGGAACTTGGGAATATGGGAACTTGGGAATATGGGAACTTGGGAATATGGGAACTTGGGAATATGGGAACTTGGGAATATGGGAACTTGGGAATATGGGAACTTGGGAATATGGGAACTTGGGAATATGGGAACTTGGGAATATGGGAACTTGGGAATATGGGAACTTGGGAATATGGGAACTTGGGAATATGGGAACTTGGGAATATGGGAACTTGGGAATATGGGAACTTGGGAATATGGGAACTTGGGAATATGGGAACTTGGGAATATGGGAACTTGGGAATATGGGAACTTGGGAATATGGGAACTTGGGAATATGGGAACTTGGGAATATGGGAACTTGGGAATATGGGAACTTGGGAATATGGGAACTTGGAAATATGGAAACTTGAGATATGGGGAATCTTGCGAATATGGGAACTTGAGAATATGGGAACTTGGGAATATGGGAACTTGGGGATGTAAGACCTCGCAAATAGAGTATCTTCCAAATCTATAACTTTGCAAGTACAGAAATTTGAAAATTTTAGAATTTGTTACTTTAAGAATTCCAGAATTTTTCACCTGAAAATTTTCTAAATACAAAAAATTAAGAATCGAAAAATGTGAAAATTTGGTACTCTCGAAATGTTCAATCTAGTACGCGAACCACTCCGTACGTTGTTACGCGTGACAGACCAACTGTTTTACGAGGAAAATTAAAAGAAGATGGTTTGTTATAATACCCGTCTACCTACCACTATTCTCCCTCGATTTACTGGAAAGGTTCGAGAATAAAGAATGTAAATTTCGTAAAGGATAATCTTTCAAGGAATTGTTTTTGATGATATTGTAATGTTGTGCCATGATTCGTCTCGAATTGAATGGGAATAAAGAAATATTTAGGAAAAACATCACAGAATAAAGAAACAGTGAATATCATTTCAAATAACAACCATTTAAAAGACAAACAATTTGATCAAAAAAGAAATACAATCAACAAAGCACCTAATAGATTTTTTTTATTATATTTTCGCAGCAGCGTAGCTGGCTCACGCATTCTTATTACAAAGACGTCGATGCTCTCATTTTGCTATTTCCATTTAAAACTCAAGCAATCGTCAATAAATTCAAGCTCCTTACATTTAGTTACATTTCAATTATTTTAATTTTATTTTTAATTGCAAATCACGGTTTCAGCTTCAAAGTAAACAAATTCTGATAAAGACCATATTTAAATCGATCTCTATTTTATGCCAGACATGACAGAATATTGCAGCTCTTCCGATTTAGTTTGACATTATATAATTTATATTACGAGGGTAACTTAATTTAATTTATATTACGCTGTAATTCGATGCGATTCACTTCGTAATTTAATTTAACGCGATTGTACAGTAGACTCCCAATATATTGCCACCAAGAGTCAAAAAATTCTTAGAGTCGGTAAAATCCTTGTTTAACATTTGAATGATAAGAGCTCCATGAAGTCAACAGGAAGCAACATAAGAGTCTAGTAGACTCTTATCTAGTATAGATCTAGTAGAATCATGTAGACTCCCAATATATTGCCACCAAGAGTCAAAAAATTCTTAGAGTCACCTTTTATAACCTAGAGTCATCTAATCCTCGTTATGAATGATAACAGAGCTCTATGGAGTGACTAGGAAGCAATATAAGAGCCTACTGTAGCAAAACATCGAAATATACGAAGGCGAAGAAAAATGAAATATAAGATCCGTGAACCCTGAACCTGAGACGATTGCTTCGAGTTCCTCTCGTTATAGCCGGCTTTCGTTGGGCAAATGGCAAAAGTCAATGAGGCGTTTGCGATAAAGAGAAAGGGAGGGTGCGAGAAAGCACGGTATAGTTGACGGTCATTAAACGCACCTTCTTAGCGTAACGATGTCATGGGAGGAGTGCCTTGGACTGAGCCTAGGAGGCCTCGTCTTGATGGGTGATGGTGTCGAGAGCATCCTTCGGTAATTGTGCACGTGGCTGTAACCAGACCTCGTATCCCACTGGAGTAACCTTTGACCTCCTAAATCGCTGTTAGTTCTGCGTACATGCTGATGCCTCGACGTTCGACTCTGAAGATCCGCCTGAAAGTATCACACGTGTGTTCTCGTTAATATCAACGTTCCTTTTACGCTCTGCTCTTCTTTATTCAACTGTCCTTACTGACATTTTAAAACATTCTTTCTATCATCTTTTATTTACTTTATTTACTCCTGTCTTTATTTTTTAACATATGAATTTTGTATCTTATTTTTTAATAATTTTTAACATATGAATTTTGTATTTGAATGAATGAATGAATTTATGATTTATTATTTATATATTATATTTAAATGAATTTATGTTTTAATAATTTTTATACAAACATACCATGTTAATTTTTATTTTTACACAACGTATATGATGTGAATATGTATCTTTATTTTTTAATAATTTGAACACACGATGTTTCCTATTTTTATTGCTTAATACTTTGTGCATGAACATACGATGCAAATTTGTATATTTTGTAATATCTTTGGAATATGCGTGTCTGCTAAGTTGCCAGCTGGAAACGGTGTGAATATTGGTTCTGGCAACTTACAGGATACACAAAGATGCTACAGATAGGGTATTTATGTAGATGCTTCAGGACATGTTGAATAAAGAGAGTAGTTGACACGAGCAAGCGAAGATGTACAGCTTTTCTGGGTATGACGTTTCATGCCAGTTCTCCAGAAAATTGCTTGATCACCGAGCAAGTTTAGTGTATTTCCCATATGGTTTATTATTGTATTGGATTCTGTTAATGCGAGTACATAAATTACAACTTCGAGGATATCGAAAGGATTAGGGATTTGATGGTTTAGCTCGTGTTAACTCTTTGCACTCGAAGATTGATTAATACTTCCAACCCTGATCTTTCAAATTTTCAGTTCCAATTAGTTTAAGTAATCCAACCGTTTTATAAATGCACACATTTAATTTAACATAAATAGCATTCTTCAAGGATTAACTTTACTCACCAAAACTTGAATGTTGTCACAAGATTATTTTATAATCGTATCAACATTCACAGAATACAATTTACGATCAGGTTTTGAAGTAACCTAAAAGCGGTGGTTTCGAAAGGCGGCCATTACTTAAACGAACTCGGAACCGTTTTATTACACATTTTGCATACGTTCATTTCCGTAATCGGGTTAAAATGACTGTGCGATCGTACGAGGATGTGCATAAACGAAATGACGAGCGTGACTGGCCTGTCGAGTACAAAGTGTTAACAGCTCACGTTCACAATTTCACGTTCACAGCTATTTGCACCGAGTGTTTTCGCACATGTAAGGTTCACACAGATCCAGGTGGGTTTTCCGAAACGTGAAAACGACCACGTACGGTACGAGGTGACGACGAGCGAACTATGACCTCGACTTTCGGTAGATAGCGCCATAAATTGTGCTCGCTCGGTCGCACAGCTCGATATCAACTGACCAGGACTGCGTTTCCTCTCCTCGTATCCTGGCCAACGCGATATAATTCTCTGACTGCGTATCAGACTGGCGGTGATCTGAGCGTGGCTAAATCGTATACAAACGTGAGTAATGCCAGCTATTGTAACGAAGGAAACAGTCATACGCTGCGGCTCCGATAATGATTACAAACGTGCGACGCTACCGGTAGCAATTATAAATCATCGCCGGGAGAGACAGAAACAGAGGGATTTAGAATTGCGCAGAAAACGATACAAAAGCTGCGAGACATCCACGACAAACCTTGTTACGTTCAGTGGAAAGCGGAAGCGTCCTCAAGATTCTCGTTCCTTGTTCTCAGACCCGATTGTTAGACCTTTCGGATTAATTAATCCTCGCTAAATCGTATCGCACAGGGAAATGCCTATTGTAGAGAGCAATTCGTTGAAACGCCATTGAAAAGTACTTTCTACGATTTGTTCGAGATATTAGGTTTGCACGATGATGTTCCTTTCTGTACAACTCGAGTGAAATTCGATACTTGAAGATTCTTATTTACAAATCATAATTATGATACATATGACTCCGCCATTTTGTAATATACAATACCATTTTAAAGCGTACACTGCCATTCTGATTTATAAATAAGAATGCACTGTTTATGATACAGATCCGCCATTTTGTAATAGACAGCCATTTTGTAGCGTACACCGTCATTTTGTAGCATGCACTGCTAGACGTAATTTTCGTCGAGATGAAGAATTATAAATTACTTTATGTTTCATCCCTTAGACATTTACACACTTCATTCGTAAAAGTAACTGCACACCAGTCATAAAGCCGTAGTTAAATTATTTGAAACGATGTCCTAGAAACACAGCAACGAATAATTGAAACAACATGCAATCCCTTTGCGATAAATTTAACGAAAATTCTAAAGCAGAGATGCAGCGACCACGCAGCTTCTCGAGCAGCGACATGTTACTGGTGTTAATGATTAATGTGACAATTGCATGTAGCAGCAGGGCAAAGAACGATAGTCTTTACCTTAAATTTGTCGATCAGTATCTGGTTGATGAGCTCGGACTGGGGTCGTGATTTGTCCGCGACTCGTCTACGAAGGGCAGGAGGGCTGTCTGTCTCGTCTTGGGCATCCGTGTCGTGGGACTCGGAGCTATCACCACCCCCTATCATTCCACCACCACCGCCCCCAGTCAATGCTCCACCAGATACCATCTATATCGTTCACAATTTACTTGGTTACTCGTCGAGTTTGCGTGTGACATTTTCGATATGAGATCCATCGACATGATCATGATTTGCAGCGAATAGGTTCATACGAGAAACTTGTTCTCGAACTGGGAAACTTTGAGGATCCTACGTCGATGCAAGCTTTCCTCAACTTCGCTGCTTTACTAGGGAACTAAGGTACAAATAATATTGCGTGAAGGGGTAAAATGGTAATTACCTCTATTTGGATTCCACTATCCCCGCTGTTGCACTTCGCATTCCTGGCAGCTTTGCTACCCTTTTTTCTTTCCTTACTGCTCCTCCACACCAGAGGACCAAACCTAAGGACAATTCACTCGATTTTAGATCTCAAATGCTAAAATTGCTAAATTCTCAAACTCTCAAATCCCCAACTAGCCAAGTCCCCACATACCCAGAATCTCTAAATTCTAAAATTCCCAAATTCTCAAGTTCAATTCCCCAACTTGTCAAATCTCTATATCCTCTATTTTTCACATCTTTTTCAAATCGCCTTCTTTCAGATTTCCCTCAGATTCCACAATAAAAGGAGAAATATAATACAATGGTAAACTAACCGAAATTTCTGATCAGTGTTGTTGTCTTCTTTATGCTGAGACGTTTGTTCGGCGACGTTCGAAGGTTCCCTTTCCTCCTCCTCGTCTAGAGGACCGGATCCATCGTTATCTTCGACCGGACATTCGCTCTCGTTGCTCTCTTTGCTGCCCTTCTTGTGGAACCTCAGCGAGAAGCTCTTTCTGAATTTCTGCAGAACGCTCTCTTGCTGGCTCTGCGTGCTCGAACGTGCTGAATTCTGGCCACCGGAAGCGGTTACAATATTGCCACTCAAGTTCGAGGGTTGCTCTTGAAGACGCGAGTGAGAAACCAACGGAATTGTCGCCTCCGTCAGAGGATGCTCGGTTGTTACGTGGCCTGTTGTCCCCTCGTCCTCTTCGTCGCCCGACCACTGTCGACTGTTCAAACGATATAATGGAACCTTATTATCGATACTTTGCATCCTTAGAAATCTAATTATCGTTCGTTTAAACGGAGATCGATGCTACTGTGTGAATTATGTACTCGAGTTTGTTTGCTGGGAACGAAAACTAACTGACACAGATTTTCCTCTTAGCGTGTCATAATTTATTATTTCAATTATAGACACGATATATAATCTATTGAGTTTATCTGGAATTTTTTTTAGTTGTATAAGTTTCATTAATAATGGTAGTTTTGCAGGAGGAACTTTTAGATTTTTATAGGTAGGAATATTTTTGAGAATTTGATTGAAGTTACAAGGTTCAAATGTTGAAGGTCCCAATATCTCAAGATCAAACCCCCAAGTTCAATAACCCCTAAAATTCGAATATTTCGGAGTTCTAAATGCCCTAGGTTCTAAAGTTTGAAAATTCCAATGTTGTAAAGTGCCCAAATTCCAAAAAGTGCCAAAGTGCCAATCTCAAAAATTTGAGATCTCAAAACCCCATAAAGTTGAAAAATTCCAAAGTTCTCATCTCCCAAAATTCTAAAGCTCTAAATTCTCCAGAGTCCCAAAATCTCAAAGTCCTAAATTCTCCAAAGACCCAAAATCTCAAGGTCCTAAAATCTCCAGAATCCCAAAATCTCAAAGTCCTAAATCCTCCAAAGTCCCAAACTTCCAACAATCTAAAATATTAAAAGCCTCAACGTCCCCAAATCCCAAAACCCCAAAGTGCCAAACTATCACCTAAATGAAGAAAAATCTCCTCTCATCAATAAAAAATGTCTGTCATCGAAGAAAAGAGTAACGACCAGATTTAATGGTCGAATTAAACCCGTCGATTAGAGACGCGAGTCCCCGATCGATCCGATCATACGTTCAATCAACCGTCCATTGTAATCGGTAGAGAAAAATAATTTACGATCCGCAGGAAACTCGACGCCGCTTCTTCCTGCGGTCCGCACTGCAGGAGACGTTGTAAAATTGATAGATCCCGAAGGTGCAGTGAACGCGAGGCAATTTATGCAGCTGAACACCGAACACGGCAGCTGACCAAGTGACTGTCCAAAGCTGCGTAACGGAAATGACCACGTCACGAGAAGTCTCATCCGTCTGCCTTCGAAAACGGAAGCTCGCGGTTTCTCTACGAACCTTTCCAAATTGTGTCGATCGTCGAACGACTTGCAACGCTACGTGGAAATTCTTGCAATTGGATTACGTTTTAATCGGCAATGAGTCAGTGTGTGTCAGTGCACTGTGTTCGAGGAAAATTCTGATGAATTTTAGTGGGATTTAGTCACGTAGTCATATAGTACTATCACGTACTGTATGGATGTACTATGCTGATTTGTGTACAAGGGTTGTGACTTTTCTAGTATAAATAAAATTACTGTTTTATTGTTGTCATTAAATTTATGGTATGTAGGTTCATTTAAAAATTATTTTCTTGTTTAATGTGTATGTGTATATGTTATGTATCGATATGTAGATATATGTGTTAGTCTCATTGCAGTCCCAACTACAGATTTCTATGTCACTGTATAATTTTAAACATTATTTCGTAAAATTATATATTATTGACAAGTTAACATGATTAGCAGACTAATATGTAACTTATAATAATTATTAGCTAATTTTTGTGTTGAGAACTCAAGACGTATTTTTTTTACCTAAATATTTATTTCTGGACAAGCTCTTACCCACTTGAAATGTTATGCAGTTTACGTGCCGTAATCAAAGTGTTCTTATTAATAACTCCTTGCGGATTTAACAGTTTCAACCCCAAAACAGCTATTTAAAAACCACCGTTATGTAAATTATCATTAAACTATAATGATAAATCAATAATGAATAACACCTGTAGCTTACATAACTCTTCATCTTGACGAAGATGAACATTTTAACAAAGGCTTAATAATTGCTATAAAATAAGAAATCTAAACTGTAAATCCAGTGTTAAACACAATTACTCCAGTATAATCATTGTATAGATCATAGGTATCGTTACAAGCGAAGGTTTTTCTCGAGGTACTTGAAACGCCACAGAGCGCATCTGTCGTATTTTTTCATTTTCCCGACAAACATCGTTTCGCGTGTATTCGAGTCAGATTAATGAGAGAAGTCCAGTTTCACGTACCACATCATCGAGCCGATTCCGATCGAGTTTTTTCCACTAGCCAGATTAATGTTTATCCGGCGTGTTTCGTTACTTCTTGCCGGCGAGCAACATTTTACGCTTCGCTCGGTTCCGTCCTCTCGTGTTTTTCCTTCGTTCACTCCGTGAAACTTCCCGCGAAGAACGGCCGAACACTTTTTACTCTGTTTAAAAGCATTTCAACGTAAAATATCCGCGCACTGAAAACAAACACGGTGGAACCGATAGCTGTTTCAAACGGAGGTGAAGCCTCGAACCGCTCGGCACTCGGGAGAAACTCCTTTAGCGTTGCTTTCGACAGAAAGAAACTTTCCTTTTATTAACTGTTTTCTATTTATACGGATCGCTTGGAAATCCTCGAGATTATTCGACGCACGAAGAACCACTTGCAACCACTTTTAGACAGGAAATGCGTCGAGTGACGGGCTGCAGGCGACTGAAACCTTCCTATGCATACAACCGAACCACGTTCTAACACGTGTACGAAACGTTTACGTGTTCCACTGTCTGTGCTCGTAGTCCTAACACGAATTCGTGCTACACAGCGTATTCATGAAAACCTCCCTTCCTAAGCGTTACACTGCTTATTTCTCGATTAGGGCTCGACACTTTTACTGCCAACTCCAAGATCACTTGTTGATCGCACGTTATCACTCGCGTACACTTATCTCTTCGTTAATCGTGTTATCTACGGAACGAAATATAGATATCCATAATGAGCTTCTTCGTTAATGCGATCACCGTCATTTTGGGTAGATAATGGACACATGTTGCAGCCTTTCATTAAGAAATTTTCATTTTGCTGAATGTGAGTAGTTAGTAGGAAATTGAAAAGATTATAAAAATTATGGTATTCTTGAGAAATTTTTTTGAGCACAAACTTTTGAAGATTATGCAACTATTTCACTGATGTACTATATTATATTTTGGGTCTCAAGATTTTATGAAACTTGCTGTAATTAATCAACTGCACTATGTCAGCAGCGTAATGAAATAGTGGAATACAATAGCAGTGTAGTAGCATAATAATGTACTGAAAGAGTAATATAATGTAGTATAATAGCTATATATTAGCAATATATTACTATAGCAAAATAATCAAATAGTAAAATAAAAAAAAAATTGATTAAAGCTAAATAAACCCACAGGTGTTTGAATTAGCTCCAAATAAAAAAAGTAAAATAAAATTAGCAAACTAGCACAAAATTACTGTATTGTTCTAGTATAGCGTCCTAGTAAAATAATATAGTACAGTGAAAGAGCAGAATAATGAATAAAAAAAACAGTAGGATATGCAGTTATCAGAGCAGTAGAACAGCGAAGCAGTAAAACAATAAACTGCCCGTACAAAAATAAGGTCTGTCTAAAACTGCACGTAACATCAATATCGTATCTCGTCATATTAATTTTGCAAGATAACAAGTGGAACGTTCAAACCGAAGAGTGATGCTATAATTTCGTTAACAATCGCAATTATATCGTGCCGTACCAGAAACGTCCGTCACAGTGGCATTAAACGCGTTAAATAATTCACATAATCGTGCCAGATACCTCAATGATGGCGGTGAGCGCGTGACAAAGAAGCCGCGCGAAAAAAAGGGATCGAAAACTCACTCCGAAAAAGACCGAAACAAATCGATGGTTTGAAAAAAAACGAATCGAAACACGACGTTAATTCGCGAAAGAGAATCGCTCGGAAGAGACGTTCCCCCAGGAAGTGCATTGAACGACGAGCCACGACCGACTGAAGGCTCCTCTCCGTGGGCACACAAATCCAGGCTCACGTGTGCCCCACGTGTGTGTGTGCGAGTGTTTGTGTGGCAGTGCACCTCGTGAACTCTTCCCAGAACAGATTTCAAGGGTCGCTTCAGGTATAAACCGACACGCCGAGGGTTGCTGCGCCTCCACCTCCCTAAACCGATGCTCTTTCTCCTCCTTTTTTCCCCATCCTCCTTTTCTTCCCTCCTCTCGTTCTCTCTTCTTTCACCCTCGTTCATATTATATTTTGGGTCTCAAGATTTTATGAAACTTGCTGTAATTAATCAACTGCACTATGTCAGCAGCGTAATGAAATAGTGGAATACAATAGCAGTGTAGTAGCATAATAATGTACTGAAAGAGTAATATAATGTAGTATAATAGCTATATATTAGCAATATATTACTATAGCAAAATAATCAAATAGTAAAATAAAAAAAAAATTGATTAAAGCTAAATAAACCCACAGGTGTTTGAATTAGCTCCAAATAAAAAAAGTAAAATAAAATTAGCAAACTAGCACAAAATTACTGTATTGTTCTAGTATAGCGTCCTAGTAAAATAATATAGTACAGTGAAAGAGCAGAATAATGAATAAAAAAAACAGTAGGATATGCAGTTATCAGAGCAGTAGAACAGCGAAGCAGTAAAACAATAAACTGCCCGTACAAAAATAAGGTCTGTCTAAAACTGCACGTAACATCAATATCGTATCTCGTCATATTAATTTTGCAAGATAACAAGTGGAACGTTCAAACCGAAGAGTGATGCTATAATTTCGTTAACAATCGCAATTATATCGTGCCGTACCAGAAACGTCCGTCACAGTGGCATTAAACGCGTTAAATAATTCACATAATCGTGCCAGATACCTCAATGATGGCGGTGAGCGCGTGACAAAGAAGCCGCGCGAAAAAAAGGGATCGAAAACTCACTCCGAAAAAGACCGAAACAAATCGATGGTTTGAAAAAAAACGAATCGAAACACGACGTTAATTCGCGAAAGAGAATCGCTCGGAAGAGACGTTCCCCCAGGAAGTGCATTGAACGACGAGCCACGACCGACTGAAGGCTCCTCTCCG